TCTGTGGGCTTTTTTTTTTTTTTTTTTTTTTTTACCTTTTCTGCAGGGGATTTCCCCGCTTGATTTTTTTCCTTTTTGCAATTTGGAGCTTCGAGCCAGGACTGCTGGAAATAAACTCCCGGAGAGGGCCATATTGTTTTCGAGAGCCTTTGTCTGGGGTTCTGCGTCCCGTGTGAGCCGACCCTGAGCTTCCCGTGTTGCCTCGGAGCCTCCCGACTGTATCTTCCCCCGCATCGCCCAGTGCCACCTGTGAGCCGCGGTACTGGCCACGGCTCCGAGACCAGCCCCTTTTGTCCTGTGGTGGGCCCTGTGAGAAGTCCTCCTGGCGGGCTCGGGGTGGTGGGGGGCGGGGAGATGAACGCAGCAGCCAGCAGCTACCCCGTGGCCTCTCTGTACGTAGGCGATCTGCACTCTGACGTCACCGAGGCCATGCTCTAGGAAAAGTTCAGTCCGGCGGGGGCTGTGCTGTCCATCGGGGTCTGCCGAGATATGATCACCCGCCGCTCCCTGGGTTATGCCTACGTCAACTTCCAGCAGCCAGCTGATGCTGAGCAGGCCCTGGATACCATGAACTTTGATGTGATTAAAGGAAAGCCAATCCGAATCATGTGGTCTCAGAGGGATCCCTCTTTGAGAAAATCTGGTGTGGGAAATGTCTTCACCAAGAACCTGGACAAATCTATAGATAACAAGGCACTTTATGATACTTTTCTGCTTTTGGAAACATTTTATCTTGCAAGGTGGTGTGTGATGAGAATGGCTCTAAGGGTTATGCCTTTGTCCACTTCGAGACCCAAGAGGCTGCTGACAAGGCCATCGAAAAGATGAACGGCATGCTCCTCAATGACCGCAAAGTGTTTGTAGGCAGATTCAAGTCTGGCAAAGAGCAGGAGGCTGAGCTTGGAGCCAAAGCCAAAGAATTCACCAATGTTTATTTCAAGAACTTCGGATAAGAGGCAGATGATGAGAGTCTGAAGGAGCTATTCAGCCAGTTTGGTAAGACCCTAAGTGTCAAGGTGATGAGAGATCCCAGTGGGAAATCCAAAGGCTTTGGCTTTGTGAGTTATGAAAAACATGAGGATGCCAATAAGGCCGTGGAAGAGATGAATGGGAAAGAAATCAGTGGTAAAGTCATATTTGTAGGCTGTGCACAGAAGAAAGTAGAACGGCAGCCTGAATTAAAACGGAAATTTGAGCAGCTGAAACAGGCAAGAATTAGTCGATACCAGGAAGTGAACCTCTACATTAAGAACTTGGATGACACCATTGATGATGAGAAATTAAGAAAAGAATTTTCTCCATTTGGGTCAATCACCAGTGCTAAGGTAATGCTGGAGGATGGAAGAAGCAAAGGATTTGGTTTTGTCTGTTTCTCATCTCCTGAGGAGGCAAGCAAAGCAGTCACTGAAATAAATGGGTGCATTGTGGGTTCCAAGCCACTGTATGTTGCCCTAGCCCAAAGGAAGGAGGAGAGAAAGGCTCACTTAACCAATCAGTACATGCAGTGAGTGACTGGAATGAGAGCACTCCCTGCCAATGCCATCTTAAACCAGTTCCAGCCTGCAGCTGGTGGCTACTTCGTGCCGGCAGTTCCGCAGGCTCAGGGAAGACCTCCGTATTACACGCCTAACCAGTTGGCACAGATGAGGCCTAATCCACGTTGGCAGCAAGGTGGGAGACCTCAAGGCTTCCAAGGAATGCCAAGTGCTATACGCCAGTCTGGGCCTCGTCCAGCTCTTCGCCATCTGGCTCCAAGTGGTAATGCTCCGGCCTCTCGTGGCCTCCCTACTACCACTCAGAGAGTCGGGTCTGAGTGCCTGGACTGCTTGGCTATGGACTTTGGTGGGGCTGGTGCCGCCCAGCAAGGGCTGACTGACAGCTGCCAGTCTGGAGGTGTTCCCACAGCCGTTCCAAACCTCACACCTCGGGCTGCAGTTGCTGCTACTGCTCCTCAGACTGTGGCACCATACAAGTATGCCTCTAGTGTCCGCAGTCCACACCCTGCCATACAGCCTCTGCAGGCACTGCAGCCTGCTGTCCACGTGCAGGGTCAGGAGCCCCTGACTGCCTCTATGCTGGCTGCAGCACCCCCCCAGGAGCAGAAGCAGATGCTAGGAAAACGTTTGTTCCCACTCATCCAAACAATGCATTCGAACCTGGCTGGCAAGATCACAGGCATGCTGCTGGAGATCGATAACTCAGAGCTGCTGCACATGCTTGAGTCCCCTGAGTCTGCGCTCAAAGGTGGAGGAAGCTGTGGCAGTTCTGCAGGCTCATCATGCCAAGAAAGAAGCTGCCCAGAAGGTGGGCGCTGTTGCTGCTGCTACCTCTTAGACAAGGAGAACACAATTCAAAAGCCAAATAATCCCTCATGGAATTGAGCTCAAGGTTTGAAGACTTCCTAGTTTGTCCTATGGACTTCAACACCAAGAACCACAAGTTGCAAATTGAATAGGTCATTTTGTATCAAAAGGTCAATTATGAAGCACCTAGAACTTTTCAATTATAGAAGTATATTCTCTGGGTTCTGCTATGGCCCAGACTTTTTTTTTCTATTGTGGGTTTTGATTTTTTTCCCCCAGAAATTGGTTTTATTTGATGTACCCAAGTCTTAAGTTTCTCAATAAAGAAAAAAAATCTCCATAAAAAAAATAAATAAATCCCTTGTCCTTATCTTCCCTCTCCCTTCCCCACCTCTTGTTCCCTTTTTCATTTGAAAAAAGTTCTTCCTACTTTTTAATATCTGTCTTCCATTTTGCTACTTATTTGTACTTTGAGTTTCTCAAACAAGTAAAGCAATACAAGATTTGAACTTGTGTCTTGATTCATTTCAGTTGATTATGGTCTCGAGAGACATCCATTTACCTTAAAATGTCTCAAGGTTATCTTTCTTTATGATAAAGTAGTAATCTGTTGTGTATAGGTACCATATTTTCTTAATCCATTTATTCATTGATGGTCATCTGTGCTATTTTCAAGATTTAACTGTTATAAATTGTGCTTCTGTAAACAAAAGTATGCATGTATCACTAGTGTATGATGACTTAAACTCTTTCAGAAAGATGCCCAAAAGGGGAATAGTTGGGTCAAATGAAATCTCTAGTTTTAGTTGTTTGAAGACGGTCCTCCATATCGCTTCCAATAGTGGATTAATATATAGAATATATAAAAAACTCAAATATACTGGAACCTCCAAAGTTAAAGATCCAATCAAAAATGGGCATCTGAAATGAGCAGACACCTCTCAGATGAGGAAATATAAATGGCCAATGAGTACATGAAGAATGCTCAATATCTCTGGAAATTTGAGGAATGCAAATTAAAACAGCATTGAGATTCCATCTAGTTCCAGAAAAATTACTATCAAGAAATCAATCAATAACAAATGTTAATAAGGCTGTGAGGAAAAGAAATCCTTTTCCATTTTTGGTGGGATGACAAATTGATTCAACTAACATGGAAAGGGTGATATACAGTTGCATGTACTGAACCTTCCCCAATCACTCTCTTGTGGGAGGCAGGTGCTGATGCTGGGTGGGAATAAAAAAATAGCAATGATCTTTTTAGAGAATCTTCCAGAATCTTTTTTTTTTTTTTTTTTTTTTTTTTTTGCGGAACTGGGGATTGAACTCAGGCCCCTGTGCTTGCGCGGGAAGCGCTTATTCCACTGAGCTGTCTCCCCGGCCACTTCCAGAATCTTCCACACACCCAAATGTTAGCATTTTACATTCAGTTTGGAATTTAAAGGTGTACATTTATAGAAAAAATTAGAATTAGAATTTATAACATAAAGAGCCTCAGCGGTCTGCAGATATTGAAATTTATTTTTCTTTAATGGTTAATCATCTTGTCATATTCTTAATGGTAAACCAAGAGTTAAGTTATTCTTGGTACATCCTTTATTGCTTTATAAACTATGGGTGCCAGTAGAGAAATTTTTTTTTCCAGTAAGTTATAGGAATTTATTTTAAATAACCTACAGTTGATTAAAAGGGAATTCATGATAAAAATTGAAGCTATTTGAGGAAAGATGTGGGAAATGGACTCTGCACACACTAAACTAACAATGTTTATGAGAAATTTTCAACACTTTTTTTGTTGTTGTATTTTAGGGAAGGGTCCACAGGGTGTTCAGGGTCTCGCTACTAGATTGGACTTGTAGTGACCCACCAGTTTACAGCCTCCCAAGAGCTGGGATTATAGGTGCGCGCCATCACGCCCAGTCTCAATTGCCTTCTCAGCAGCCCCCCCACACACACCGCCCAGGGCAGGGCTGGCATGGCAGGCCGGGAGATCAAACCTCTGACCATTTTTGAAAAGTTAAATAGCTACTATTTAATTAGGAATAAGGATAGGATATAGTTATTTTTAAAATTTGTGCGTAAAAGAATTACATCTCATAAAATCAACTATTCATCCATTTTATAAGCAGCTTGTTATACTTTTCTATGTTTTATAGGATGAAAATGTACCTTCAGTATCCTTTTGGAGAATTCTGAAGCTGAGTCTCACTGAATGGCCTTATTTATTGGTTGGTGTGTTGTGTTCCCTTATAAATGGAGCCATGCAACCAGCATTTGCAGTAGTATTTTCAAAGATTATTGGGGTAAGTGTTTATGTCTCTTATTGTGTTTGATTTGATGTCCTGACTCAAGAATGAAAGAACTGGTTGTATGGCCCTAGTGCACTTAACCCTCCAAATAAGTGCATGACATGAAACCAACAGTTAGTAAATGTAAAACAGAAGTTTGGTTATGAGAGAAAAGCAGTTTTGTAAACCATCCATGTCATATCTCTATCCAGGGCCCTGTCATTGCTCTTCTAGGCCCCGGGAATCAGCTTCCTAAAATAGTCAGTGGCACTGGTGAGGTGACTTTTCCATCAGGAGTGAATTAAAAGAGTATTGATATTCCATCTAATCCTAGAAAGTATGACCAGCACTGCATTCTGAGCAAAAGCTGTGGCTCTTCCCTAGTATGCACTGGGTTTTCTCAGCTGTATATCAGATGGGCCTGAGAATGACCTGACCTGTAAAGTACTCCCTTTCCAGTGCACCAGGATTAGGCTTAGCATGCTATCCCCATCAAAAGTAATTGTCATGTCACTTGCAAAGACCAAAATGAAAAGAAGCAGTTTCCTTCTAAAGATGGAGGTTGACAACTTGGGTCCACTTGTCCTAGCAGTAGCGTCTCCCATAGTGGAATTATAGCTTGAGCATTCAGGTTCTATGCTTCCTGAAAGTTTTCTAGCATTGAGCCAAGGACACCCTCACCATATTGTTAAAAACCATGTGGGGACAGATTGATTCACACAAGAATCATAAATCAAATAACAGATCTTGATTTTATAACAAAAAATATCCAAAACTATCCAAATTGACCAGAGATTGATAATTTCAGGTTGATATACATGCTCATTGTATGCATTCAAAAAATACTTCTTTACTGTGGAAGTTGCTCAGAAGTACACTGCTCACTAGAAGGGGGTCAGACTTAGGTTTAAACTCCAGTGTGACAATAAAAGGACAAATTAATGAATAATTCAGTGTCTACTTTGTGCCGGGTCATTTTATACATGCTGAAAATGCACCACAGAGATAAATGGCTTGCCACAGAGTGTGTGTTCAGGGACAGGAAGCAGCAAGCTCTGCCTATAAAAGGCAGGCTAGCAAATTTTTGGAATTTTCAGCCAGTGTGATTCGTACTGCAGTCATTGACTCTTGTGGAGGCAGAGCTGTTATAAACAGTCTGGAAATAAGCAAACCAGGATGAATCCCAGGGACACTTGAGGTAAACATGGTGTGAAGCTCGCTGACCCCTGTCCTGCCCTGTGCCTTGCAGGCAGGAGAAGTGGACTGGGCTGCCACCAGAAGACAGCGGTAGAAGTGGGTGACTTAGAATGTAGCTGTGTGTAATGGCCATTCAGCTTAGGGAATTTGTATTTTCTCATGCTGTTGTCTCAGTTACTTTTCTCTCATTTCTGGGACAAAATACCTGACACCCAAAACTGAGTGAAAAGAAAGGTTTACTTAGCTCACAGTGTGGAGGTTTCAGTCCATACATGGCTGGTTCCAAGGCAAAGTGGTGTATGGCAGAAGGCAGCAATTCATGGCAGCAGAAAACAGCAAAACAGCAAGAGCAAAGAGGGAGGAGCAGCGGCAGTGAGCAAGTCTCTCTCCCTTCCTTATATTACATTCAGGCTGTCAGCCGAGGGCGGGCGTCTCCCTCACACTCATAATCCCAGCATTGGGTCATGAATTAATCATCAACCCTGGAAGCCCACCCCATCAATGCATGAGGCTTTGGGGGGACAGCTAGACACTATTTTCTCATATTTACTCAGATAAACAGTAGCCTAGAGCTGTGTCGTTCAGGGCTGGCTCATGCACTCCAAGGTATTGGCTGAGCAACCAGCATTCACCCTGCTGTACATAGCGGGTTGCAGGTCTTGATCACTTGGGCTTATGGCCTTGTGCCATCCCTCCTGGTGTGTTCATTGGAGCAAGTTAATTCTTCTGTCTGTGTCTAAAATCTCTGAGTAAATGGTTATGATAGTGACACAGCTGGTGCTCAGTCTGCCAGCCGTAGTCCCCATCAGTCTCTCGCTGTTCATCTCACACGGTGACTGGCTGCAGAGCCTTCTGTGTTTCTGGAAAGTCTGGGCCGAGTCAATGGACACCTGTCTGCAGTCACCAAAACTGCACCATCTTTTCTGTAGACACCTCAGGACAGTTTGGAATGTCCACCTAGTGAATCAGTGGCTTGACATACAAAACAGTTCTTTATCAAGGGAAGAGGATGGGCATTTGCATTTCTTTTTTATATGCTTAAGCAGCACTTGTTGCCCCACAAGCAAACTGGGCATGAAAAGTAGCAGATCAAATTGTGAATGACCGTCTGTAGGGAAGCAAGAACACAGGTAGGTACAGTGGAGGTCGGCATTATGGAAGCCAATCCTGATATGTGTACAGAACAGGTCCCTGCCACCACTTAGTGGATGACTTAGCACATCAATGATTTCTTAGTGAGTGAATCAATAACCTTTACATATTTTCTCACAGATTTTTACAAGAAATGATGATCCTGAAACAAAACGACAGAACAGTAACCTGTTTTCACTAATGTTTCTAGTCCTCGGGATTGTGTCTTTTGTTACATTTTTCCTACAGGTAAATGCCCACATTTTTATTTTGTTTATTTTGGGGGGATTTGCAAATATCCATATAGTTTTCCTTTTAGCGCAATTGCTCCACCATGAACTTGGCTGCTAACAACCATATTGTTTTTGTCCTCCTACACTCTTGCTTAACAATCTCCTCCCCACTCCTCTATCCCCAACTGGAAATGTTGGTGAAATCCTAAGGTATAGATTTGTTTGACCTGTTACAATGATGGAAAATGCAAGGTGGGGATTAACACAAGGCTTGGGGGTCATTTTGGATTAAGTACTGCTGGACAACTTAAATACATATCTTCTTATGTTCTATAAACAACGAAGAAACAAACAAAACTTTCTAAACGAGTCACAATGCTTGCAAAAGAGCTTGGAAAGTTTATCAATCAACTCCTTTTGTTAAAGGAAAAAGAGCTTTCAATCTCCAGGCCTGCCATGCTGGCCCTGCCCCAGGGGCACACTGAGATGG